AACCAGGATCGTAGAGTAACACTCGTTGTTGTGATAAACATCGCCAAGTTCCTTTAAGCACTCCAAATAGTCTCTCTACTGGATTTTGAGCTTTGCATAGCGCCTCGTTGTACCGAAACTTAGGAGTACCCTCAGGTTGGTTCGGTAAAGGCGTCATGAGCCATGGCTCAAAGGGGTATCCAGAATCGCCTGAAAGGAACTTAATTTTAAATTATGTACATTTTAAAGTAAATTAAAAAGAATACCAATCAAAAGCATGTTGCGGTTTCCATTGTCAAAAGCTCTCTGCATGACTCGCCGCACTGGACAGGAACTCCAAATGTAAGAGTCATGTCGTGCTCCCGGAAACCTAGCATTGACGATGAGTATTTTTAAATTTGGGTCACATATCTATAAAAGCATAACAAATACTTATCGCTCGACTTTTATTTAAAATACTTAGCTCACCATTTGAACATTTATCGAGTGATAGCCATGATGGTTCACGTATGCTTCCTCATGAGTTTTAGGACCCAAAATAGAAACATGCGTGCAGTCTACCGCTCCAATAGTTCCTCCAACGAAAGGCGCAGGTGCAAACACTTCCTTGGCAGCTTGACGGTCCACCTGCGTCATAGGGAACTTAACCTCCTCAAAAAATAGTCCACTGTTTATGGCATCAGTTACGCGATGTATACAACGGCTTGTAGAGGATTGGCTCATCGATATGCCCCACTGTTCCCCTACAGGCCGTTGGCAGCATCCTGTGGCATAGAAGCGTAGTGTACACAAAACCTTCAAAGATAAAAGATTATTTGGGAAATGTTTAGTTATTTGTACAATGATTATGTGGTGCGGAGCGGAGGGGGAGAGGGTGTGACACCTAAAACCATACCCGTTAGAAAGAGCAGTCAAAACTCCCCTCTCTGACCCCTCTACAGACTACAGGGCCCATTTGAAAATGGGTTCACCCCATTAGCATTTCAACATGGAAGCCACATCGAAACTTACAAAAAAGTCCATAATTAAAACCGGTTTTATTAATAAACTAGTGCTTGGAAATTTGAAATCTTTGTTTTAAATTAAATTTTAATCCTTGGAATACACGCGTATGTTAAACTTTTTACATTCGAGTCACGCGTTTGGGCATCATTGTACAGATAACTAAACCGTACTCAGGAAATTATTGTATACATACTACATATCCAAAATTGCATGCTCTCATTATTTGAAGATTTATCTGTTTTTCCGCCGATATTGAGGTAATCCTTTTACCTTTCAATTGGATTTCCAGCCGCTGGATGAGCTCCATTGCAGTCTCTGGGCCCACACGATATAGCTTCCGAAACTCGGAAGGCGCCAGCTCAAATGGATCGTGAATGTCCCGGAGCAAACGCCGATCCACTGTGGGGGTATTTCTGACTCCATAGTTTCGGTGTAAACTATACGCCACGTATTCAAACGCCATTTCTTTTATATAAATTCACTTTGATTTACTTGCGCGCAAATTCGTTTGGTTAACACAAACTTAACAACACCAAATGAGATGTCGATAACTTAACCATAAACGAATCGTTAACGAAACAGCTGATTTTCACTTATCGAATATCGATAAGAAAGTACTTATTGAATAGCAAAATCTTTAAAATTATCGTTTAGCTAAATT